AAGACTATAATATGGTATATATGCAAAAATACATATATAGTATATATTAGTAATTCAAGTTTAAATTATTTAAAGCAACGAAGATCCGGCTTCGACCGTAATAGGCATTTAAAATTTTTATTATATATTTATTATAAATATGTACTGCGATTTTCGTAAGATTAAAAAATATTAGAAGAGATATAACAATAGCTTAATAGAGCGATTATTCTAATAAGATAAAGACATTATTCGCTAAAAAAAATGCAATTTATATAATGCCCGTTATTTTTTAATATCAATAATTTATTTATTGTTTTATTTTTATTATTACACTCTCAGTTTTCGAAAAGAATAGCTTGTTATAATCATTAGTAATAATATGATTGGAGAAATTATTGTAACTCCTTCCTGGATATTTCTCAACTTTATTAACACCGTTCAAACATAACTAACATAAATCAAGGATAATGAGACCGTTCAATAAAAAAAAGTGCACAAGAACGAAGGTAATCGATTCTCGTAGTTTTTCAAACGATAGAACAATTTAATTAACGGAGAGCGTATTTTTAGTGTCTAAAAAATTACGAATAACAATTAATCTTGTTCTCAAGAAAGTTTGTTGAACAGTATAACCGAGAAAAATATTTTCGTCCTTTTTTTTGTGATTGAATAAAACAAAATATGTTATTTTACTCTTAAGATTTCGAAAATGGCGCGCTATTTATTAGCGCATGCGCATATAATGGGTGTGAAATCTAACCTAAGAAAAAACGCGTGTCTATTTTTTTAAATTCCTTTGATCTTTGAATATAGCAGCAGCAATTTTAATCGCGATACTTTCCCCTACATATCAGAACATCATTTTTCAAAGTTCCAGGTAAATTTCAAATTTGTTTATTAGATGTTAACACGATTGACATATTTTTTTAACCTAAAATGTCTTTATTTTAAACATTTCTCTCGATCTTCACTTAATGTTGTCTAAAAATATATATTAATTCGATATTCTCTCTGGGTTGTCAAACAGTAAATTACGTTCAATGAGCGCTTTCCATTTGTTGACACAAGTTGACACAAGTGTCGTTCTATCTTTGTTACTCTCTGAATATTAAGAAAAAAAGATAGAACGACGCTTGTGTCATCAAATGGAAAGCACTCAATAATGCCTTTCAAACACACTCGATAAAAATAGAGTTTGTCACCTGCGTCCAGTGCCTACGAGGTAAGTGTTTGTGCCCTGCAACGTCATCGGACCAGGATTGCACCCCAGGATTCGAATCACTTTGCTGGAAAGCCTTGCGATTGGCGGCAGATACGTCAAGGACGTCATAATTACTTCGCTTGACTTGTTTACTCCTGCGATGTTCGTCAGGAAAAGCAAAAAGAGCAGACGCACTTTGGACCTCTGTTCATGTTCTCGCGTATCGCACATTCATCATTATCTTTTCTTAGTATGGGCGGTGCGACTACGAAAGATTATTCTCTACACCTTTTGCACGTACAGCAATTTAAGCCTCAGACACAATGCGAAGGAATAGCGATAGAAATAACACGATTTCAACCTATCAAAAATCAGATACAGATGAAATAACAGTTTCTAATAGGTTGAAATCGTGTTATTTCTATCGCTATCGCTATTCCTTCGCATTGTGTCTGGGGCTTTACATTCTCTATGTCTTTGCCCAGACAGCACAGAATATTTATGATAAATATTTATTCATATTTATTTTTTGAAATGTTCTATAAATATTTCATACATATTTTATATAAAGCTTTATTCGAAATATTATTAAAATATAGACTAAATATTTTATGTGATATTTATGATAAATATAAATAAATATTTCTAATAAGTATTTTTTGCTTGGATTATAATTGTCTCATTAACTATCTTCATAGCATTTACTATAACATTTACAATAAATATTTCATTATATTTAAAATAAATGTTTATGATCTGTGCAATCTAAGACCACAAAAATATTCACAAAATATTTAAAATAAATCTTATAAATATTTATAAATATTTTGTAAATATTTTATAAATGTTGTGTGCTGTCTGGGTGGTACAAGTGGTACAATCTTATAAACAATACAGAATATTTATGATAAATATTTATTATTTATTTTTTGAAATGTTATATAAATATGTTATACATATCTTATATAAAGCTTTATTCGAAATATTATTAAAAGATAGACTAAAATATTTTTAATGTAATATTTATGATAAATATAAATCAATATTTCTGCGTATTTCTTTTTGAATTATATGTAATGTCTTATTATAAGAGTATTTCCATAGCATTTACTACAAAATTTACAATAAATATTTCATAATATTTATAATAAATATTTATGATCTATTGCAATCTAAGACCACAAAAATATTTATAAAATGTTTAAAATAAGCTTTATAAATATTTTGTAAATATTTTATAAATTTTATGTGTATCTGACATACTTATATATATTTTTTTTTTAAGTTTCTATATTTTCTGTATATTCAATGTCAATGTTGAAAATTTATAGTACATATAACATATACTATAAATTTTTAGTACTGACAATATAAAATGTTAGATTAAGCCTATTATACCTGTTTTCTAGCCATACTTACATTGTATCTTTTCCAAGTAACACTTAATAATAAATTCAAGAGCGTTATCTTGACTGATTGTGAAACTTAAAAAAATTCACTGAATTTGCATCAATTTAACGTCACTGTGATACGTCAATGTATTTACATATACTTGAGTTGAAATATACAGGGTTTCAAAATTCACATTTCAAAATTCGCATTTCAAAATATTATAGCAAAAAAGTTCTCGAAAAAATTAAGTAAAAAATTATTTTTAAATTTTAATTTTAAGCAGTAATTTTTTAGATAATAAAAGGTTTAGATATGGCCAATTACAGATTATGTTTAGATGATCATCTATTTATAAGTTGACGGTATATTCGGCACTTCAATGCGTTCACTAATACTTACAGATAATTATTTTAAATGTTGTCTGTAATTGCCTTCATAGAAATTTTTTATTAAAAGTTTTTTTTGTAGTGAATAATAACAAAGTATTACTGAATTGCATATTGAAATCTATAATAATAGTTGCTTTCTATTGTGACGTCATAACTTCAGTTGAATGCGCGTTTCTTTTACATTCTGACAAGTGAGATTTAATTGAGTTTTTGCCTATAATCTGCACAAAGTCGAAACCGTGTGCTTTAGTGAGTCTCGCAAACTCACTTTAAAAGTCAGGTGCGAACCTGTGTTGTCTGTGATAACTTTTTACCAACTAAGCAAATAATGACGTTATTAATCTGAATATAAAATACTCAGCTCACTTCAAATTCAGTTTCACTTGTGTGCTAATGGAAAGCAACTAATATTGATTCACTTAGTATTTTTTTTT